CCGTTTCTAGTTTGGTCGGTCGTGCGCTGTGCTGTGGTATGCACGTGCTTTGTTCGTCAATCTATCGTCTTAAATATTTTCACTTTCCTTGGTATTTTATTTCGGCGGTTGCTTTGGAATTGGGATTTTTAAGTGCGAAAAACCAATTTTTGCTTGTTTTAGAAGTTTGCACCTTTGCCCGACATCCTACGAGAACCATTCTTTCATTAGATTGTAAGTACTAAATTTCTTTGCCATCTTTATTAATAACTTTTGTGATTATGTCACAAATTGCCTTGGGAACCTTTTGAAAATGCTTTTTTTGTGTTTTTTATCCTTTAATTTTTGTTTTTTTAGGTGTCTAGCGGGCGAACACAATGCCGTAGGATAACCGTTCTGTTACCAAATTGTAGGTATTCTGGGTTTATCCCTTGGGAAACCAACGAAAATGCTCTTTTTCTGTTTTGCGTTCGCTTGATTTTAAGTGGCGAACGCGATGTCGTAGGGCAAACGTTCTCTCAGCAGATTGTAAGTTTTAAAACTCTTTATCACTTTCATCTATAATTTGTGAGATTAGTGAGCGCAACCTACAAAAATAAAATAAAAGTTCGATAATTTAATTGCTTCAAATCACATACTTTCTGTTATTTACAGCAGATAATTTGGGTTACAAAATATTGGCAGTCGCGTTGTTGTTTTAACTTAGGTACGATAGATTGTTGTCCTTCCAACTGTGGGTTGGTTATCAATTGTCGTTCTTGTTTAGTCCGGTTTAGTCGTTCGTGCGCCGTGGTGTAGTGTGCACGTGTTTTGTTCATTAATCAAACTTCGTGACAATTGTTTGCGTTACTAAAGATTTTAATTCTGTAATTGAACTAGAATAGGACGACATTTAGTAATAACAGACCAGTGTGGTGGTTGTTTGTAGGACGTGGGTGGCGGCCGTCAGATAAGTATGTTTGCGTGGCTAAATATATTTGTTGTTCAGATATTTAATTTATGTAATTGCACGCTGCTCTGTTTATCAATCGTGGATTAACTCACCTGTGCGCGCGTGTCCGTTGGCAATCAGTTATCGTTTCGCACATAAGAATAACTTGGATTTATAATTAATTACTGCAAATGGACAACTTTGATGCCCAGACAAAAATTTTGTGAGTGCACGCATGGAGTTTGCAATATCTATAGCTGAAGTGTTGGAGATGGGTGTATTTTAAGGCAAGTTTTTACTACATCCGAATATACTAGCTGTCGATATTTTTTTTATTTAAAAAAATGTATCTATTATATTATTGTTGTCAATAAAACATTATGTAAAATTATAATCTCATGCATATTTCTTTGTGGTATCCTCTTTGTCGTTTTCAGTATTGACGTCTTAAGTCATATTGCGCGTGGAGCGAGTGCAACATAATTGAACTGTGTTGTTGTTTTTAAAAAGATGAATATAATAAAAACATAAATAGAAGAATCAAATGTAAATGATAAAAACACTCGGTGGTCGTGTGGAGACGTGCACCTGCTGGCATGCTAGCAGACACGGATCGAATCTCGGATATGGAAGGCATTTATCTCAAATATAAAAATATCAGGTGTAATTTGGGTTGCATATATGAATTGCAACGAAATATAAGAGAAATTGAAATACAAGTGAAGGCAATATAAGAAAGTAAGAGGAGAAACGAGAACAGAGAAAGAAATAGGAGGAGTAGTAAAGAATAGGAAAAGATAGAAGGAAGAGAACAGAGAGTAGATAGAGTAGAGAAGAGGAGGAGACAGAAGAAAGAGAACAGGATGGAATGAGATTTTTACATTTTTTGGCACGTGTCGTTATAAGACAGTCTACGGTCGATCTCCCAGAGCGCCTCCGGCGCTCTGGTCGATCGCCCACTACTTCGATGCGTCCATTGCTCCCGGCCCATCCTACAGCTACGATGTCTCTGCGCTTCATCCCCGAAATTATCAGGCATATCAACAATTTTTATGGTGGGGGATCATCCCCAGAGAGAGGGAACTCCTTATAAGGACATCCTTTTAAGGACTTGTAAAAATATTTCTAATTTTTAAGTCGCCTCAAGAGAGGGGACAAAATATTCTTACAAGTTGACCTGTAGCTGAAATGAAAGATGGAGTACACAAATCATACAGGATACCTTAACAATTTTTATAGAGGGGATCATCCCCCGAGTGGGAGAACTCCTTATAAGAATTTGTAGAGATATATCTAAGAGTCGACGCTCTCAGGACCGACCACAACACTGAGAAATACTTTATAAGTTGTAACCAATACCTGAAATGATGGAAGGAAGGGGTGCACAAGTCATAAAACACAGCTATTGCCTTTAACATTTCTTTATTAACAAACTAAATACAATATAACTTAGAATTTACAATTTCAATACCTACAAAACACGTGACGTCATTTTAAAACATGTTTATCATCTGCATAGCGGCCATATGCAAATGGCTATCAAATAATAAAATTTAACACTAGAAAATAGCAAATTGCGCCCTGATTTCGCATGACATCAGTGGAAAATTATATACAGGGTGTTGTCAAAAGGAAATCTTCAATTGAAAAAAAAATCACCCCAAAACAATAAAGATTGTCAATTTTTGGCTGGGCATAAAGGAAAATTTACATACAGGGTGTTGTCAAAAGAAAATCGCCCCAAAACAATATAATTATGCTCATTTTTCGCAGAGCATTAAGAAAAATGTATTAAACACATTTTAAAGAAATACTAAATTCAGATCTCTTAAACACACAAATTAGCACAGACAGAATTATGAATACAAAAGCGAAAAAGTCCCGAATGAGAGCGAATGGGCAGCCGATGGAACGCGACAATATTCCAATACTTGTATTCCAAAGGTTAATATATGCAACCATGTGACGACTATGCTATGTATTAAAGTTTGAACTAATTTTTCTGATCGTTTTTCCTTATAAGGTTGGTAATTGTAATAGAATATAGTTTTTATGTTACATACTTTTTTACGTCTTTGCAGATGAAATATTCCATACGATGCACAAATAATGTTTATTCAAATTAATATTTAAATGAATACACGAAACAAGCCTGAGTATTTCTTAGCCGACGGCAGATATCCGACGGCCGACGGTAAACACGTGGTGCGTTATACAACAAACCATGAAATTCTTGGTTTCACGAGCGACAACTCAATAACTATAGGCCACACTTGTCTGTTGATTCTAAATCTCATCTTTGGTGACTGATTATAATTCAACTACCGACTTAAAATCACAAGAAACGCGATAAGTCGCCATGAAGACCGCCGCGCAAGTAAACGCGTGCACACTACGCCGCAGCGCACGATCGACTATGTAAGAAATGAAACAAACACTGCTGACCGTATCGGATGCGCTGCAACGCAATGAAAACAAGTTGTTTGTGCACTAACACCGATAAGAGCCAAGAGTGCAAACTACGAGTATAAATTATTCGTGTTGTGGATACAGTTCAATACAATGGAAAAATTTTATATTCTGAACGTACCCTCTTATTCACATAAATAATGTATCCTACAATCCGGAATTGAATGCAGTCTATATGAAAAGGCAGTTTAGGAGATAATCGCAATTGAAAAATCTGGGAACAATAAAGCAAATCTCTTATCTTAGCTCCTTTAGCAACTATTTTTGAACTTTTTCTGCACATAATTAATATATTTCATTATCCTGGTCTATAAAGAATTTTTGGAAGTTTTATAATCTTCAATCACGTGACGAGGGTGACGGTAAAAGTGACTCCCGGCACGTTGACGGCGCGCGACCTTGTGCGCGAATTACATGTGGCACGATACATAATTGCGATCTAAATGATACAAGAATGTGCCATGCCGCAATTGGCAACGGCGAGAGAAGATTCTAATTTTTCTCAATTTTCTCAAAAACTAAACGCGATAAAAAGGAACAGATTGAAAATTTTCAAACTACGGAAAATTTTCTATAAAATTAGCTAGTTAAATTGGAATGGGCAAGGATAATTTAGTTCCATGATTTTCAAAAGTGAATATCTTCTAAACTAAAAGAGATAACAATGAGAAAATTGTGGATTACCGAAGATTAATTTTATTATTTTCTATTATTTTCTAAGTTGAATACGTAATCCATGGTAGTAATTTATAAAATATATTTATTAATATAATTTGTGATTTTCTTGGATTTTACAGTTTTGATTCTGTTCTTTGTTTCAGTTTCTGATGATGCCCACAGGGCGAAACATGTAAAACTCGCAAACAAAACTGTAAAATCCAAGAAAATCACAAATTATGTTAATAAATATATTTTATAAATGATCGAATATACTGCGAATTTGGAAAGTAGATGCGGACAAACAATAAGAGTCGCGTAAAATATTGGATTAACCAGATACCGGCACGAAACTGGCTGCAAACTGTGCAAGCAACGACGCGTCAGTGTATGATAAGAAAGTGACAGCAGTGCGTCGATGGCACGCGACCTTGTGCGCGAATCGCTTTGACACGATACCTGCGATCAAAACTAATCTAAGATGCGCCAACATGCGGTGTGAGGGGATCTCATGCGTTGCATTCCACGCGACGAATGCGATAAGAAGGTGTAAGTTGTGTTCAAAACACAATTCACAATTGTAAAGGAGATAGGTAGAAAGGAACGAATCGCAGTCTTAATCTACGGAAAATTCTCTATAAAATAAATTGCAAAATTAATATGGCAGGAAAGCAACTAAGACACAAATTTAGCTTGCTTTTCACTAACGAGCAAGGCAAAATAGTATAGTAATACATAAAATAGTATGCCACGCGTTCGCAAGCTTTATGCTTTATAAACAATACAAAGTACTGGCCAACGGTAACGTGTCGCGCCGCGTCCAGGCAGAAACGGACTGAATCCTACGCTGCTGCCTGTAGTACCAGCGCAAGCTGCACATTGTTATTCGCGCAACGAGATAAAAAGTTGTTTATACACAAACATCGATCAGCGCGACGAGTGTAAGTAAAACAAATTCTACAAATTATTCAAATTCATAAATTTAATATATGTTAGCAACATACGCTGACACAAATTAATATGTTCTTGTTTTGGGAGGAATGCTTGGGCATTCAATTTCATCTAAAGTACAATCAATCACAGGCCGGTAGGTCAAACAAACCTCTCCTGTTTTGCAATCCATATAAGCAATTGTATGCTTCCGAAAATGACTATCAAAAGGCTTTCTCTGTTGGTTATCTAACTCCTTTGCATAGTCAAATTCATCTATTCTAGTAGGATAATCCTCTCTAGAATGGGCCCCACGTGATTCTTTGCGCGCTTCAGCACCAATAATAGTGGGCATTGCATTTAAAATAAGATTCTCAACTTCCAACGTCTCAACCATGTTGGAATTCCAAACTTTACCCTTATCGGGGACTATTAAACAGTTCACCAAGTCCCAATGTTTCTGCATTTGTTCAATACCCTGACACAAAAGATCTTTTGTGCGGAAGACGGCAGCAAAATTTTGCATTGTATGTTGTATTTTTTCGCGTAAAACCGTTGCAGGAATACCGTTTCGGCGTTTCATTAGTTCATATACATGTACCAACGATTCTTCACCAGCATCCTACATATAGGTATCAAATGTTAAATAATTATACCTTACACTGCTATTATTTCTACATGTTTAAATGAAACAATACATACAGTACGTAATGGATCCATTTTTTCACCCGGCTTGTTCTTACATTTAATTGCTTCCACACAAGCACGGCCCATAACGGCCAGCTCCAGCAATGAATTTGCACCCAATCTATTTGCGCCGTGAACGTTGGAACTACCACATTCACCCGCGGCAAGTAAACCCGGGACGATTAAATCATCATCCCCACAGTATTGCTTAACTTCACCCAGATAATTAGTAGGTATACCTCCCATTGTAAAATGAACAGTGGGTAGAACCGGGATTGATTCATTTAAACAATCAACGTTGGCAAATATTTTTGCGGACTCGCGAATGCCCGGCAATCGTTTCAATATAATATCATGAGGTAAATGAAATAGTTGAAGATGAACGTGATCTTTCCCCGGACCAACACCACGACCTCCAAGGAAACGTATAACAGTCATATAAAATATTAATTAAATCACTTACCTTCCAAAACCTCCAGGGTTATCGCACGTGACACAACATCTCTTGATGCTAAATCTTTAGCAGACGGTGCGTACCGCTCCATGAATCTCTCACCTTCGGAGTTTACTAAATACCCACCCTCGCCGCGTGAACCTTCAGTTATCAAACATCCCACTGGATACATGCCGGTAGGATGAAACTGGATAAATTCCATATCCTGTACCTGGAGTCCGGCGCGGATCATCATTGCAGCACCATCACCTGTGCAGGTATGTGCAGAGGTGCATGATTTATAAATTCTCCCAAAACCACCCGTCGCAAGAATCTATTAAAACATTAAGTAAGATTCCTGCCCAAATAATAGTTTCGCCAAACTCACCGTATTTTTAGCTTGAAATCTGTGGTAAGATCCATCTTCCATGCAATAAGCTATAACTCCTTGACAAGTCCCATCTTTCATCAGTAAATCAAGAGCAAAATATTCGACAAAATAATCGCAAGTAAATCGCAAACTTTGTCCGTATAACGTATGTAACATACTGTGGCCAGTTCTGTCTGCGACTGCACATGTGCGAGACGCTTTGCCCCCCTTACCATAATCAAGAGATTGGCCGCCAAATGGCCGCTGATATATTTTTCCAGTCGCAGTTCTAGAGAATGGCATACCATAATTTTCTAATTCAAAAACTGCATTTGCCGCTTCCCGAGTCATGTAATGTATGACATCTTGGTCCCCAAGCCAATCAGAACCTTTCACGGTATCGAACATGTGCCATTTCCAGCAGTCTTCACCCATAGATGCTAAGGAAAGCAGCAAAACCGACATGCTGATTAACTGTAATCATTACTGTTGCAACTATTAGATGAACTTTACTTACCAAGGGCGGCGTTTATTCCTCCTTGAGCAGCCACTGTATGCGATCTAGTCGGAAACATCTTGGTCACAACTCCTACATTATATCCCATTTCAGCGGCCCCCAGCGCTGCACGTAGGCCGGCCCCTCCAGCCCCAACAACAAGCACATCGTAAGTGTGATCAGTAACATCAAATGTCTTGCAGAGTCTAGTCGTTTTCGATGGTATGCATTCAGTTGAGGCATATTTCTTGACGAGTGTTAAGCGTGGAATTGTATATTTTAATATTTTATTAATATTTATCAGCAGAGAGCACATGTTTAGAAAATTGATAGACGATATTGAATGATAAACAATGTCAATTACGTCTCATAAACATTCATAGACACCTCTGATTTGTAAAGTTTTTAATAAACATTTCTGCAACAATCAGAAATCATACAATTCATAGTTACTGCTTGAATGACGAACGGTACCGTGAAGAAATTCCTATACTTTAAGATGTAACACCCACAAGCATTTTTCACGGTTTATATTTTTCATTACAATAATATTTCACTGTACAGTTTTACCCTAAATCGTCAATTGTCATGCTACAAACGCATGATTCACGTACTTCCGTCTAATAACTCATCTTTGTTACCATTAATTTACATTTAACATTTAAGTGCATTCATTCGGTTACAAACTAACTTAAACTTATTTTATGTGGTGAAATCTATCTCGCAACATATCCACTTCACACTCTTACATCCTGGTCACTTTAACAGTGTGCAGAGCGCTCCTTCCATTTTTTTCTCGCCTAGTCAATTTAGTGAAGTGCTAGTGAAGTGTTATCATGATTAAAGTTAATCTTGCAGCAAGCTTAAGATAAACATCTGTATGGCAAATAAAAGAGCGTTGCTGGATAACATCAATACGCGATTCGCACAATGTCATATCCGCTTTAAATCTTATAAATTCAATATTTGGATATCATGTAAAACTCACTTTGTCAATGCTCGTTTATTTGCTACGATCCGCAAATCACGGCACACGCGTATTCGAGAAAAAACATACCTATCTAATCTTAAGATTCACCTGCTAGAAGTGACAAATAGCTTTGAGCAAAGATTTGCTAGACAGTAACTAGGGTGAGGTGGACGAACGAACCAGTCTTCAATAAACGAGTTTTTAAACATTAAACAATAGTCGTACTTTAAGAATTAAAGCAAACAATACCGGTATTCAAATAAATAATTGAAAGCGTATTGGTTTAATAATTTCTCACACTCGTATCCTCGTATCCATACACACAATGTGCATATCTCGGTAAGGAATAGCAAATTCGTTAACTCGTACGCAATAAACAAAATTATAAGAAAAAATGTTTATAATGTATTTTTCCAGCAAATGTGAGCGAAAGAGTTAATTTGATTTTATGAACCACGCTTATGAAACTCACCAATCATAATTGACTGGTTGCCCATCAATAAAATTTAATAAAATACGCAGCATCTTTCCTGTAAATTAGTTAGATATTTAACTGTACGCTATGCTCTGGGCGACGCCGTTGACAGTCTTTGACTTGAGTTCGTCGTTTTCATACGACATTATGGTTTCTTTACCATTTTCGAATACTCTGTACAGAATAAACGTGACGATAAAACACATATAAGACAGCACACAAATAAATAAACTTACTTTTTGGTGGTAATCTTCTTCCCATTGATGAATTTTGTTGATGTAGACATGCGCTTCATGTTCACATTGGCGGCACCGTTAGCACCATTTGTGAAGCTGCCATTGAAACTGCTGAATGAAGTGAAACCACCAGTGCTGGGTACATTAAAGAAGTCGTCCATAATGTTAGCACCCAATCCAATGCCAAATGGGCTAAAAGATGTGAACTTATAGCAGTTGAAGGGTGTGAGTTCCTGTTACGTCTTCTGTCGCGATGACTGTGACTCCCAGCGGAAGTTAGATCTATTAAAACATTGATAATAAATTTAACAGATAAACCCACTTGCAGAGATTGAAATACCAAAAAAGTCAGCAAATGGCGAACCCCCAAAGAACTCCCTAAAAACATCCTCGGGATCTCTGAACGAAAAGAAACCAAAGCCGTAGTCCAGGTCGTCCTCGGTGTGTCGACTGCGTCGGGTTGAACCGCCATTGATCAAGCCTTCTTTGCCGTATTGATCATATACACGACGCTTTTTCTCTGTAAATAAAACTTCAGTTAAGACTTGTTCATGCTTTGAATTGCATGAAGACAATGTATTTATTATTACGATTAGGTGCGATGTTCAGGTCCAGCTAAAAAGGCGCTGTATATTAAAAAAAGTTAAAGAGTTTAAAATGAAAGCCAAACGAAGTTTAGATTCTGATCACAAAAAAAAAACAAAAACGCAAACACTGTAAACTCAATATCAAGTACCAAAAGAACGATGAGAAGGCATGTGCGAATCAAAATAGGTCCGGAACGAACGAGACGATTTACAGCTGCTCGACCTCTGGGACGATCTGCTGTCATAAATCTTGCGTTTCGTGTCTGTTTGTTTAATTAAACGTACCAAGTTAAATTAAAATCACATTGTCGACATTGATCCAAATTAAACTATAGTACAAGACTTAAAAGAATTAAATTTTATTAACATACCGTCTGAGAGGACTTCATACGCTTCAGATATTTCTTTGAATCGCTTGGTTGCTTCCTCCTGATTCTCCTGGTTTTTGTCTGGATGCCATTTTAACGCTAGTTTACGATAGCTGCAATTATAATATAAACAAATTACATTAGTGCGCCAAGTATATCGCGGCACTAAAATAGAATTGAAATTGCAAGTACTGCGTATAGATACACACGTGAATTTTCGAAATTCGCGAGGCTAAAAATAACATTTTTCTAATTTTGGCGCTAGATATATCTGAATGAATAATATGCGGCCGGTTTGAGCTCGCGTCAGGACCGCGCTGCCACCGGCTGCAGCCATCACAAGCGAGGTGTGACTAACTTACTAAACATAGATGCAAATGTCGTTCTATCATCAATCAGTAGGAAAATATTATAGTTAAAATTTAAACGAGAAAATACACCACTTACGCTTTCTTGATCTCGGCAGTGGCAGCGCCGCGTGGTACCTCGAGGACTCTGTAATAGTCCACCATCGCGGCGCTACTGTTATCCTTTCGCCCCAGGGTTGAAACCCTTGCTGAAAAACAAACAAAAACACGTTCACATTAAGATGCAAATGCCAAAAATACGAATGAAAATAGATAACAGTGTCAGCGTGACAATTTATACCTTAGTGAAATGTTCTAGAATAGTTCTAGAACAATATGTTGCAAGAGAAACACACCACAGGATTATAGCCGTGTTACAAAGTCTTCCTTCGGTCGCCAAGAACAAATAAAAACTAATCCAACAACAACCGAAAACAAATTTATTAACTGCGATAAGAATGCAAGGCAACTATGATTTAGTAACGCAAAAATCGCATGTTTTTGTTTTCCACAGGTCACTAGATCACTTAATTCTTCTAGAGAGAAAATAACCTTGTGATGTAGCTGATTATTCAGCAAAATAATTACCTTCATCTGCCTTATCTCTACTGATTATACTTGCTACGTCAGCCATGATACATCCTGATAAAGTAGAAACAAAAAAAACATGGAACTATCCCAATTCAAAATACAATCAAAATAATTTCACTTTTTAACAGTTTCCCATCAAAATCTCGTTATTGTTAAACATTTAGCAATCGATGTGTCATTGTTGAAATTTGCTGATCTCAGCATTCGTTGCGTTCCGGATCGGTTCATCCGATTACCAACTTGTTAAGTGCGAAAAAACAGCAGGTAATTCAAATTTGTACAAAAAAGTGGGTTGTTGTATGTATTACAGAGACAGACGATGACTAATTTTATTTTAAATGTCGACCAACACGCACAGTTGTTGTGTGTTTTTACGTGGTTTTAAGTGAGACACCTTACGGTAAAGTATTCATAATGGTCGTGATTGGAGGTGGGCTTTTAGGAAACTTGCTTCTGAACACATGCAAGTAAATAATATTCATTGATTCTATGCAAAACATATGATTCAAGCTGTTTTATTAATTTCATATCGGCGCCTTTCCATTGGGATTCTGATAATTACACACATGTTCGCCGGACTTTTAATGAACACATCATTAAGCGAAAAAACAAATGTTATTTTTAATTTTTACTAGAAGTACTTAAGCGTGTTTTTCTGTAAAATATTTATGTTTATCATGGAATATCCTAAATTCTTGAAATTATTGAAAATGTTTGAGTGACTCACACTTCATTCATTCAACTACATATAAGAACCATTTCCTATACGACTTTAGTTTTATAAACTTGCTAACGTTCAAATATAAATTATTATCAAAAATGAACAAGGAAATTTAAAGAAGTGTATCGCTTCTACAGTATACTCGTACACTATTTTGCGTCTAAATGTTTTTAGTTAGATATTAAACTGCATATTTAATATTAATTTTATCATTTTAATAATTTAGATGTTACAACATACGACTTCAAACAATGATCAATTAGCAACATTAGAGAATCATTTCCCATGTCGTGATTTGTTGTGTTCCTCTGTTTTTCTAGTTATGCGTATTATATAAGACAATATGGTTGTAAACTTAATAATAATATCAAACGCGCCAAACATTTTAATAAAGAATTAAACCAATTATTACATTTTTTAAAAACCTGTGGGGAAAGTAATAAAATATTCTTCAAAATAAAGAAATAAGAGAGTATTTGTTCTCCATCGTATGAATACCTATTTGCATTTCTATTTTTCTGTGAAACTATGTACAACAATGCGCAATGCGGCATGAAACCAGAATAACTATTATGATGAAACGAAGTTTCTTGGTCATATTATAATTGCAAACTGGCTGAGAACGGATACGTTTCTACTTGATCTAGTTGATAAAGTTAATGCAAAATTTGCTTTAAAATTTGAATACGTAAGTGAATTTTAATTGTTTCATATTAAAATCGTATTTAAATTAAAACTTTTACTCTCTGTGAATTAAGTGATCATAACTAAAGAGTCAAACATATTCGCATAAATTAGTTTAGAATAATCTCATTTGATCTCACTACTCACGAGAAATAGTTGCGTCGCGCATCATTAAATCCGCGTTGAAAGGGAAAACCAGGAAATTTGTAACGATACTAATACGTACATACACTTCCTTCGTGTCTTTCAACTATTGGTTCATCGCTGTACCAGGCACAAGACGCGAATGCGCTAATTTTAAATTGAGCATTGATTACAAATAAATTGTCGAGTGTTACAACTTCTTACTTGAATAATATATTATTGCCTCCATCAACTCATGCAATCAATGCAAATTTCGTAACATTTGCGAAGCAAATCTCGCAATATTACAAATAGGCATTAGGCTAATCACAAACAAATCAAGCAATCAATGCTTCACTAAAATAACGTACAAGGCATTAATAATGTGCATTATAAATTCGTATTTCTTTGTTTACAATTGCTTTCACATTATTCACGTCATATACTGCAACTGAGAGACAATTATTTACAAGAACTCCGTTTCGTCACTTAAATGCGAGTGCACTATTTCAAAATACATCGTGATACATGCTTTTTGCCTGCAGATATTCAGCTGGCGCACAGCTGCAACGTTTTTTTTTTCTTAACTGATGTAAGTTAATGATGAAGCATAATGATAATAGTATTGATATTTGATATATGCTGAATATCAAATAAAACTACATATATGAACTATCTGTTTTATTTGTTCTTTAAAAAAGAGGAATATCAATAAATCAATCTATAATTACACTTCAAGGTTGTGACTTGTGCCATGTGGTCACGATAATTCAAAGTGAAGACAAACAAAACAACGCAATTTTGTTACTCAACTCGATTTATCAATAACTTTCTATAACTGTATCGGTAGTATGTAAATTCTCGCATATTTCATAAATGTATAACTCGCAGCAGAAACAAATGATCGAAAGTCATCATTAACGAAAAAAAGCTCGAAAAACAAAACTTCATTGCGTGCCAAACCCATATATTCGCTTTGTTAGCTTTGGCATTGCAAACTACTGTTATAAGTGCGCAAGTTTTACAGTTCTGAGTTCGCACGAATTGTGTGCGTTTTGTGATTTTACATGAACTTGACATTTAGCGTATTTATTGCGCGTTTAAAATTGAAATAAATGCATTATAAGTCAGTTTCGATCAATACTGCCGATCTATGCTTGTCCACGCGTATGCGTTTAATGTTATTTCGTTCCGTAAATTGATTCGATAAATAAATTCTAACTGTTGTTTCGTCCAAAGTGCACTATACTAAATCTAGACGCAATTATTTGCAATTATGACGGTTTTTTGGGTCTATTTAAAACGGGTTTCTAAGGTCGTCCACAAAACAATTATTTTACCTTGCAATCTTGAGTATAAACACGACGAGACTATGCAACACGATCAAAATCAGCCAGGCACGTAACGCCAAACAACCGTACATGCAGGAACACTGCATAAAAACATTTAATTGCAAAACGAAACAACAATAGACGACGTTTTTAGATAAATCTTTCCGAAAAAAAATCAAATGACATCACAAACAAGGCTTATCTTTATTTTTACAACACAATATAAGTCATAAATAAAATGATAAATACTTACAATAACAAAAACGTGAAAAACGTGTCCGATTAACGGATGCGAAGAGTGAAAAGTTGAATTAACTGAAACAACAATACCAAAACATAAGAAAAAAATTTAAAAAATTACAAACCAATCACAATAAAAGTATATAAGTAAAATTTACGATTACTGACTGAAGTTTTCATTTTTGGTGTCACGCCTTTTAAAAATGTAGGCATACGCTACAATACGACTATTGCCCCGATGAACTTTTTGTAATAAAGTGTGTCACAAACAACGTTACATACTGATTACGCGAATATGTATTGCGTACAACTTGCACACTTTTGCGCAGAAAATGCGTAGTTCAGTTTACAGTTTCCTTGAAATGCGGTTAAAATAAACCACTGCAGGCGGTAAAAAGACTGCGCAAATGTTTGAGGTACAAATTAATTACACAACTTTTTTGTATAACAACTAAGTGAATGTAGAGACGAACTTATTCAAGTTTGTTTCGATTATAAATACAGTTTACCAGCAATTGTACCTTGTTATATACTTTTTTATGTAATACTAGGCAGAATTTTTCAAACACATAATTAGAATACAATTTTACGCCTTGAATAATGTAATTATATTAAATTTTAAACACGCAACTTGAAATTTAAATTATAAACACTAATATTTCACAATTTAACTAAGTAAGTAATCATAAAAGTGAAATTAAACTTTGCGTTAAGTATGATCTGATAAACTATGAAAAGATAACAGTAAACACCGCAATTGTCGTGTAATTAAAAAAGAGAATAAAGGAAAAATGAGTCATTACGTTTTCCGGACTTGCGTATACTCGCGCAACATTGGCACATAGAAAATAAAAAACAGTTCATTCACCTCTTCGCCTTTGACAAATTTTGCTCGGGCCATTCAACACCAGAGATTTAAATATTTAAAATGTACCAATTAGTTAAGCTACACACTGTGTACGCATTAGTCACTTTGGTACAATTTAATTATCACAGTTGTATTTATAAAGCCTCAAAAACTACAACGTCACAATAAAAACGAAATCACGTTCAACAAAATCTGCTTAAACAGCAGTCAAAGCAAATACTCAGCCTTGAAATCTAAATTGAATAAAAAAAAGTCACCAACACCGGATGAGCGCATGAGCAATCAAAACTAAACAATGACAAAGTTGTCGGCGCCACACACTCGCACGCACACTTTAGAGCAAGTCAGCAAATTTGAATTGAAACCTTTTTGCAAACAAGTTTTGCGAATCATATTAATGTCAATACAAGATTAAAACGATATCAATATCATGATTGGTTTTCGATTTCCAAGTAGTTTAGAAACGCTAGTTTATGGATCGAGAGAAGCAATTTTATAATTAATCACACAAAATAGTTTAATCGGTGAAACTTAATGTCGTATTACTGCAAGATGATTAATTGAACCGTTAACTCAATTTCCAGCAAAACACAAAATCTAGCACATCCGTACTAATATTAAAAGCAGCTACCCTCTTGACTTTTAAATCAT